CCCATCAGAGACACAGGAGTCTGATCATGTCATGTTGCTAAAGGTCAGATGCGGGGGGAAAGGGCTACTACATGTCCATGCCCTTCTTTGCGTGCCAAACTGTGTGCATGAGGAGACAAGAAATTTGGTGTTTCTGTATTGGAAATTCTTCCCATCTCTGGAAGGGCATGCTAAGATGTAGGAGCTTTGCTTCACCTGCATCACATGCATCACTTGAGGCACCTCACTCTCCAGGCACACTCACCTCGAGACACGCTGCCCATCCTCCAGTCCCTCCCCCTGCCAGGGCAGTAGCCCCTTGGTTAGCAGAGGAGATAGTGAGCAGTCAGAAAGCTCAGCAATCCCTGCTCTTCTGAGTGTCTCCAGACTGAATGGACAGGAATTTATCATCACTCAGAACCCACACTCTGCCCAGGAAGTGCAGGAAACTCTTGGGATACAGCTTTCTAAGAACGTCACTGCCGTATTTCCATTAAACACATTTGCACATGGAACATTTTGGTTACTCACGTAAACCTGACATTTCACCATCTCTGTTTTTCACATTAAGTGGCTTTTTTGCGCTGACGTGAGGTAAGGTGAAGTGGGGACATCACTGTTTTGTGGAGGGTGGGCTGCACTGTATTTCCCTTTTGATTTAAGGCCACACTGGGCTTGATTTCCCAAGATGTCAAAGAAAAACCCTGCCTGATTCCAGCCCCTCCTTTCCCAGGAATCGCCCGGAATAGTGTGTTTCTTGTCTTTGCTTTAACCCTTTTCCTTCCACCCAAGTGCTCCACAAGCCAGGCCCACTCCAGCAGGCACAGATTCAGTCTGGTCCCCTCCTCCAGCCCACTCAGAGGCCATCAAAAGCCCAAAATGACAGCGCAGGAGTGCCAGAAGCAAGCAAGTCACCTGCAATTTCACACCTGCCAAAGCTGCTTTCATGGCAGCTGGCGAGGCGAGAAGTTGATGAAGGTCCCACTTGGCCCAGGCTGAAAGTCAAAGCAACTGTTGGGCTTTTCAAGGAATGTCCTTCCCTGAAGTGGAAAGGCAGGTAAAAAACTCTGCTGGCAGCTGTCTAGGGGCATCTGGGGCGTTTTTTTTCTTTCTGAGGGAGAATTTTTTTTTTTTTTTTTTTTTTTTTTTTTTTTTTTTTGCAAACAGTCCTGTTCTTGGCACTAACTTTTCTGAGCTGGAAAAAAACATTGGCCACCACCAGCTGTGGAAGCACTTTCTGGACTGTGGATTTCTTTCTCTCCCCCAGAACCGCAGCTGAGCTACACTGGCCCAATCTGCTCATCCCAGGTGAGATTTAATGGTTCAGGAACTCACTATCTAGCAGGTAACTGTCTAGCAAGTTTTGGCTGTACAGGCCAAATCCAACCTGCACTTCTGCTTCTTCCACCCTAAGGACGTGCATGAGAGAGGCAGTACACCCAGCTTACTAGGATCCAGCTACTGTAGTAGCTGAGTGTGTAGTAGCTTCTGCTGCCTGCTCCTAACAGGGAGGATTGCATGACCCAAGCTTCTTGCTTGATATATGTCCTCTTTGTTCCTGTGAAGGGCAATAAGACTCACCATAGAAACTTGCTCCTCCAGACCCATGGGCTGAAGAATCCTGCTCATGTCAGCAGCATGCTCAAGCCAAGAGGAAGGAGCTGATTCTCCTGCAACAACAAGGGGAATCCAAACCTGAGCAAGACAAGAGCTGTTAAAAAGCACAGAGCTGCAGTCTTCAAAGTCTGTGACAATAACCCACCTTCATGAGTTTAGAACTGATGGCCAAATGCCGAGTCCAGCTCAAGTCCTGGACACCAGAGCTCTGGAAGGCAACTCCAGCCAGGCCCTGGTAAAAGACCACCTGTCTGATAGGTATTCGCTTACAAAAATAGGGGGCACAAACTGAGTTAATATCACCAAGGGCACATTAAATACAGAGGCACCAAGCCCAAATCAAATGCTACCTGTCTTGGATGATTTTGGTCTGAAGTTTGTTTCTAGCTCCCCTTCTGTTGAACTGCAGATATAAAACACTAAAGCCATGTGGTAGTTAAATTACACCACCAAAATAAAATAATAATAATTTTGCCAAACAGCAGTCATGCAGATCTGCAAAAGGACATCTGTGCCTCCTAGTTAAATGTCACCCTCACAGCTTCCAAGCAGATAGCTGCTCTAGAAAAAGATGCCAGGCAAAACACTTCATGTTCTGGACAATGCCAATGGCTCAGGGAGAGATGGGGCATTTAAGGGAAATGGAGCTACAGGAAGTTAGGAAAGTTCCTCCAGCAAAGACCCTATCTCCTCTTTCCACGGCTGCAAGGCACCACATCCTAAACAGGCATGAAACAATAGGGTTGCTAACAGCCTGCCTGGCAGCATGTATTGCCCTGGTCATTATCTCAAGGCCATAACTTCAAAAGAAAGTCCTGGACACAAACAATAAAAGAGCTGAGGCCATGGTCACCAAAACACACATCCGTTTAAAATAAGTACTTCCCAAAGATCCTAAAGGACTGGACCTGCCATGTCATCACATCATGGCTGGCACTTCATGACCCCAAGAAAGGAAAAAAAGAGCCCAGGAGAGGGCCAAGAATAACCTGCTTGGACAAGCGTGAGCTACAACTGCCCCAACTACAGCAAAGCAGGAGCCATGCTGGCCTCCAGAGAAGGCTGGGGGCTGCACACAGAGGACACCAGGAAGGACAGGCTGGGGGACACATGTGGTGCTTTAGCTCTCGGAACAGCTCCTGCAGGGATTCAGAGCAGGGCGTTTCAGGCTAATCTCCTGCGTCCCCTCAGGGAACCTGAAGGATTATTGCTCTACATCTGCTCACATGGTTGGGCCCCACCTTGTCAAGCCAGCGAACACGCTGGCAGCTGCTCAGTTGCTAATCGGTTTGGGATAAACAGCAAAGGGCCCTGGCTGTTGTAGTGCAGCATCTCCCAAGAGACTCCCTTGCTCAGAGCCTGGTGGTTCCTCTTGGGCCCTGCCTCACAAAGCCTTGTGCATCACTAAGTGCTGCTTCCTGTCCATGGCTAGGGAGGGCCATAGCACAGCTTCCTTGGCTACATGCAGGGCTGGGGAAGGCAGCCAGAGCAGTGCCCGGCCATCTGGCCCAGGGGAGAGTCTTTAGTTACAGCTCAATCCCAGAGGAAAACAGAGGTCTCGTGCCAGGAGTCAGCACACACCTTGAGCCATGCTCCAGGCTGCAGGCACACGACACTCCTCCAGCCCTCCAGCTTGCCAACAGACAGAGCTGCCACAGATCTGAGAGGCTGAGGGTTTTGGGATGCCAGCTGCTCACACTCAGGTCACCTATTTGTTTTTCTTGTTGCTCTCCTGTTCCCAAGTGGGCCCCTCGGTGCTCACTGCTAGCAGAGACACCTGCTTTGCAGTACACAGAGCTGCACTTTCCTGCTTAGCAAAGAGGAACTAAGATACCAGTTTGGAGGCCAGCTCTGGCTGGGCTGGCTCTCATGCAGTCAGTGCCATCTGCCGGCAAACCTTTCTTTGGCTGCTATGGGAAGTGGGAAGCTAAGCAAGGGAGCAAGCCCACGCAGCCTGTCACCTTCCCCACATTTTCCTACCATCTGCAAAGGTGAGAGATCACCAAAATAGTCCCCAAAGGGAGCATTACTTTTAAAACACTTTATTAAATACTATTACAAATATAACAATACATTTCAGCTCAAACAGATGGTTAATTTATTATAATTTAAATATAACTTAAGACGCTCCTCACAAAGTACTTTCCTAAGACCTTAATGATTAAGCTCTTATGCAAGAATACAATAAAGTAATATATAAAAAACAGGGCTTCCATGTAATTTGCAAATATCCTGGCATTAAATTGTTTAAAATAAATCAAACATCTTCAAGTTATCCAGGCCTAAATCAATGGTTACAGACCTACGTAGGGTCAGGTATTTTACAATACTTCTACAGCTAAATGGTACAGAAATACCCACAGTAAACAAAATGCACAATTAAATATTTATATAAACAAGACATCACAGAGTCTAATCCCATTGGGATGAAAATATTTTACATCTACTTGCTGCATTCATAGACCAGAGTACCTGAATGAACACTAATACTTAGTGCTGCTACAACAAGAGTTTAAGTTTCAAAATCCTTCTAGGACATGCAAGAGAAAACTAGATAACTGCCCATATGGTTACAGGCATGTTCATTGATGTCCTATTAAAATGAACTGACTCCAGCAATAAGCCAGATCAAACGCTTTCAAAGATTCCAATGAACATGTTTTCAGTTATTTTGTTCCTGCCAATATAACCCTCTCCAGCAGCATAGTAAGTGGTGTCTTCAGCTTACCTAGGTACCTTCAAGTAGCTCAGAGGAGAAACCAGCCTCCTCTTTAAGCAGCAGCAGCTTAATATACACTCACCATCTGAAGAGATGGCAAACTCCCAATTTGAAACAAATGCATGACTGAAGGTAGACTGCATTTTGCCAGAGGGACAGAGTTTTGCCCTCCGCTTTATCTTCAATGGAAATATCAGACAGCTTGAGTTCAAAATGTCTTAGAAATAAACAAGGTAAATCATTTTGTCAGCAAGAGGTAAAAACATCTGGACAGCTGCTGATCTGCATGCAGTTTCATTTCCTATAAATCTCTGGGACATAAGTAGAGATGGCTTCAGTTCCTGCAGAGAGAACAAAATTCCTCTAAGTAAGAGAACTAGCATAGATTTGTATTTGCTGTCATTTCAGAGCAATTTTGTATGGGGCAAGTAATCAAAACATACAAAAGTTTCTAATATCATATGCAGATGGACAGAAGGTTAGCACAACCATCTGAGCTAAACAATCATTTCTGAACCAATTAATCTCTTTAGGAACTTCCATGTTATGCTTAGGTACTAGGTAACACAAAGTACATATGCCCATTTCTGCAGCTGTAGACAATTAATGCTCCAATTGCTTCTGTGATTTACAGCAAGAGAAACTGAGTGCAGATATCTTATGATCTTACCTGAAAGGTAAGGATTCAGACATTGTGGCCAACACTCTGGAAGCTACCTTCAATGGTGAGGCTCTGATAGCTACTGAAAAACAGAAATGAAAGATTTTAGCAACAGCTGTTCTACATCAAATGCATTTTAGTAGAAAGTTGCAGTGTTTCTCATGTTGCTTTTTGAAACACAGCTTACCTGGAAGGTGTATATTTCTTTCCTGAAAGAAAAAATAAGAAAAAGTATTAGCATTTCAAGACTAAAGTGCCTTCAGGCAAACTTTCTTCTAAAAATCTCTCTTTTCTGAATACTTGACAGAAACACACTGATCTAGCAACCAATCTAAAACCCAGTTGTTACTGCATTGTCATTAGCTCCATCTCAACTTCCCATTCATGTTTCCTAGCACTAATTGTTGATTAATAGAACTGCTGCTTTTTCCTTCAGTAATTCTTATTTTAAATGATTTTTTAAATTTTATTGATTTGTCATCCAAAACCAAGAGTAGCATATATAGGCTTCTTGGAGGGGGGACAAAAAAAAAAAAAAGCCACACACACACTTGGAATGGCTTACTACAACAATTTCCTCTTTTTCAGAAGAGTCACAGGTTCTAATCAACTCTCCAGTAAAGATTGAGTCAGATAAATAAAATCAGTTGATCTAGTCCACCTACTCACCTTTTCTTCGAAAACGTCTTGCAAGCCAAAGGAGGAATGATGCTGTGGAAAGCAGAGAGGCAACTGTAGCTGCAGTGCCCACTGCGAGATAGGTGCCTTGTTCAGAAGCTGAAAAGACAAAAAATGTTTCAGTGAGATTGAGACATGATGCCTTTGAAGTCTTTTCTACTTCTTTCTTTTCCAAGTTTTCTTCCTAAAGAATCCAAACTACTCCTTGTCACCAGTTGAGAGAAGACAAATCCTGTACACAGGTGAAAAGCTTCATACTGAAAGTTATTCACCTTTACCAACACAAAAGCAAGGTAACAAGCCACTATATGAGGTTCTCCCTAACCTTCAGCCTCATATGATAATTTGTGTTTGTCTTATATTTTCTTTTGAATTGTATTTTGATTTCCTCTGGAGTGTTTTCCTCTAAGGAATCTCATCAGAATCAATGAAATTCAAGAATCTAAATTCTAAGTAAATACAGACAAGTTGAGTTCTTAAGAATTCCAAGCAAAGGCACTCCAGGTAGGCTCAAGTATGTTCCCACTGAAGTTAGTGGCAGAGCTCTTACTGGCTTGGATGGGAAGGTAGGGCTGAGACTTTTAACAAAAGCTCTAATTTTATCAGGCAGAAGAGCACTGTGAGGCCTTTGATTGATTCATCCTATAGCTTTTTTATTATTTATTTATTTTTATTGCTCAATAGACTTTGAACATAGATTTTAAACCACAAGGTTCTGCTTCTCTAAAAAGGCCTTTTCTTTGTTAATGTGGTAAATGCCCAACACTAGTTTTATATATAACTTTGTTATTATTATTATTAAAAAAGACAGCTTAGTGGCTTTTTTCTTGATGTGAAATCAGGTTTTCTCACCAAGGCCTTTTAGGCATTGGGTTTTGTTTTCCCTGTTTTCAAGGAGCATATTGAAGGTTTCTTTCTTTGTGAACTGCACTGTAATTCTTAACTCAATGGTTGGCATATCTGTCCTGCTCTTGCATGCCTCCCCCTTTGATTAGAAACCCAGTGTCACCTCTGTGCCTAGTCAGAGATAAAATACCTTCACATGTGGGCAGACTGGCATTCCAGTTTCCTGAATGATTGCACTCCAGAAGATGAGAACCATTCAGCCTCCATCCTTCTGCACAGCTAAAGTGGCAGGCTGTGCTGTATGTGAAGTTCCCAGCACCATGTAAGCAGTCCACAAAGCCATTCTCAGGAGAGCTCAGTGGTTCACACTGTATAGCTGAAAAAGATTTATCAATGGTTAATAAGCAGTAAGGACTTTCCTGTCTTCAGTTCTACTCTGCACTAGCAAGTGTACACAGTATTATTAAAGAGTAATTTCCATTATCTTGCCAGAACAAATGTTTTTTTAATGCTCTTTCCCCAAAATGTTTTAGAGTTCAAATATCTTGGAGAAAATTAACAAGCTCATTTTACAGGTATTAGTAGCTGTAAATCAACTATTAACTATTGAATAAAAACTAACTGCCATTAGCTAATTGGATTTCTAAAGTGGTCAGCACAGATGCCTGAGGAATCCAGCACACCAGTGCTGACAGCCCCATATGCTCAGAGAGAAGGGTACCTTTGCAGGCTGGCTGCTGCTTGTCCCAGGCCCCAGAAGACCCACACTGCAGTGTTGCTGGTCCTGTCAGGGCAAATCCCTCCTCACAGGTGAACTGGCAGGTAGCACCCCAAGTGAGCTCTTCAGAAGAATGGGAGCAGTTCACAATACCATGAGCAGGCCTTTCCAGGGCAGGACAAGTCACAGCTGTAAGCACAAGAGACAGCACAGAGTTTATTTTAGAGCAGGCCAAGATAAACAGCCTTCACAGAGCTGACAAAGATGCTCCCTGCCTGGAGCCAAACTCCGTGGGCCATGATACCACTTCAGACCCAGTGAGTCTGGAGTATTGGCACAGTCAAGCCAGGGGCCTCAGGGAACAAGGACTTCGGTGCTGCACAGTGAAAAGAAACCAGTAAGTCCCAACCCAGCAAGTCTTACCTCTGCATTTTGGGAACGGGTTTGACCACTGATTCTGTGCCACACAGCGGACACTGGATGGACCCTGCAGAACATGGCCCTTATTGCAGTGGAAGTGACAAAGTGAGTGGTAGGTGAGATCTGTAGGAGCATGCTCACAGCGCACAAAGCCTTCCTCCAGCCAGGTTATAGCCTCACAACTCACAGCTGCAACAGATCACAACAGCAGTCAGCACAGATGCCTGAGGAATCAAGTGCGCCAGTGCTGACAGCCCCATATGCTCAGAGAGAAAGGTACCTTTGCAGGCTGGCTGCTGCTTGTTCCAGGCCCCCGAAGACCCACATTGCAGTGTGGCTGGTCCTGTCAAAGCAAATCCTTTCTCACAGGTGAACTGGCAGGTAGCACCCCAGGTAAGCTCCGCAGAAGAATGGGAGCAGTTCACAATACCATGAGCAGGCGCTTCCAAGGCAGGACAGGTCACAGCTAAAAGCACAAGAGAAAAATGAGTTTAGCTTTGGACAATCGAACAAGCAAACAAACAAACAACAACAACCACCCCCCCACACACACACACACACACCACTAGCAGCATATCCAACAAAACAAAGGAGAGATGAAGAAACCTGCAATCCTGGCATTTCAGGAGGATCTCAAAATAGAAGATTATTTTATAGATTGGCCGCAAATTCATCTGCAGTTCACAACAGCTGGTTACAATCAAAAGTTCAGTGTGGCTTTTGATACTTGTTTGTTGATAGTTTGATGCTCCAAACGGTAGCATATTTGAAGCTGAACACTTCAAGAACTAGTCACTATAGTTAGTATTAAGTAGCCTATTGTGATCAGTCACAGCTGTATTAAGTGATCCATTCCCTATTCTCTAGTGGCAGGGGTGGGAGGGCGCAGAAAAGTTTCTTTAGGAGGAAATCTAAGGTAAGGCTGGGGCATTGGTCCAGCCCATTTCATGCCTCCAGGGTAAAAGAAGGGCCTTGGCACTGCAATAAGACCACATCTTCAGAGCTAAGTACAAAGGAATAGGTCAGAGGCTCAGTTTGTATCTACTGGTAGAGTAACTTTGAAGTATACAGACCTATGTATGATTTGGAAAGCTCATTACCCCTGCTTGGGAAGCTTACCTTTGCACTCCGCAAGGGAGGCAGACCAGACCCCAGGAGAGGTACAGTGAACTGATTCTACTCCAGTCAGCTCGTAGCCCTTTTCACACTGAACTGTGCAGGATGAGCTGTAGCCGAAATTCTTCAGTGGGTGGCTGCACTTCAGGGTCCCATGATCAGGCTCCTTTAGGGTGTCACAAGTCTCAACTTTAGAGAAAGACAAGGAGGCAGAGTCATTAGCCGAGCAGGTAAATTGACAAGCCAGGCAAACCAAACACTAGTTGATATAACCCTCTCCCCACTTGGAAAGGCAGCTAGAGTGAACTTACCAAACTCGCATTCAGGCCCATAGAATCCAGGGTTGCAGTGGCAGGTGTGATTGTTAATGGTCTCTATACATTCCCCATGACCGCTGCAGAGAGATGGGTTGCAGGAAGCTAAAAAGAATAAAATGCATTAGCAACATTTAAAATGCAAAAGGAACAACAGACTACGATGGAGGTAGAATTCCTCAACAGGGACACTCTTCATCAATTCACTACAGCTCTTATTTGGCAGATACGTGGTCTTTTTTTTTTTTCTTTTGGTCTAGCTGTAGCCACCTCCTCGTAGTGTCTAAGCCACTCCAGGGGTCTATTGACAGAGGCAGATGCCCCCAAAAGGGTAATTCTTGCCTAGCTGAGAAACTCACTACAAAGGGGATAAAAAAATCACTTTTTCAAAGAGATGGTTTCTCTCCACCCACTATGTAAGGGGTCTGGTGACTTGCTTAGAAAAGATGTGTAATATTCTGAGGACTAAGAAGTAGGGGAGATTAGTATAGCTCTCAGAACGCAGCCAGTTTCAGCTCTGAGAATAGCCCTCCCCCCGCCAAGGAACTGTGTTTAAGGTAAGTGTACAAGTGTTTACATGCTCAGATAGTTAATATTTAAGACTACATGAAATGACACCCCATCACGTCCTCTCCACAGGGCCTCACCTGTATAACACAAGGCAACCTTCTTTTTCTCACACTGTGCATCATTCCATTTGCCATCATCCTTCCCTCTTTTGATGTAGATTTCAACACAGTCCTCGTTGTTCCCTTCACCATTTGGCTCACCCAAAGCCCAGTTTTCTGCCTCTTCTGTTAGTTCTTTGTTAGTTCCAACCCAGGTCCATGTCTCATTAATTTTTCTGATTCCAATCCAGTAGTAACCGGGATTAAAAGGTAAGAAGTTATTAAGATATCTGATTTCCTCCTTATTCTGAATGGCAACCATGTTAGTATATCTGTCTTTGCACCACATCTCTGCTTCATCATAAGTCATATTTATGTCTGAATAATGGTAGGTCCAACAATTCACCTCCTCCAATATAGTAAAACCTGGAATGAGAAGATAACAAGTAGGTACTTTTTCTTCTCTAGAAGAAAATATATAAAAGACCTAAAAATATTCCATGCTTATCAATATCTGAACATGCATAGGCAGTAGTTGCATTTTATACACAATATAAATATATACTTTATACACAATATTTTACACACAACAGGAATTGTGTTTTATATACAATCAACAAGTTTCAAAACAGGCATGTCAGCACCAAATATGGGGACTTCAGCCTGTAAAACTACACCTGATTACAAAGTTCTGCAGGCTTTATAGCAAAGGCAGTAATATCTGAAGGGTGAGCAGGGAAACACTATTGCAACTTGAGATTTTTTTTTCTATGAATTTAGCTTCCTACTAATTAGTTTGTGTTCAAAATTGTTTAGTTTGGAGCTCAGACAAGATAGCTACACTATCACTCTATTAGCTTTCTAGAGAGACATACACACTTACCATAAGCAAGAAGAGATAGGAACCACAAGCAAACCATGTTTGAGAGTTTTATCTTTGTGTAGACAGCTATGAAAAAACAGAAAAGATGCATTTGTATAAAACATACTTTTTTTTTTTTTTTGCAATTCAATATAAAATACTGCCTATGTTATCGGTTCTACATATTTAATCCCTCAGTGATCTTTTTAAAAAAATTCTCATTTGGGAAAAATATACCATGTAAACAGTTCTTAACAAAGACAGCTTTTAAGGAACAGCAGCAAAAGAATTCTGTGCAGTTTTTCCTTAGCTAAGCAGCGTGATAAAATAAAACACTTTATACTCACAGATTGTCCTTGTGATGGCCAGGTGCTATAGAAGTCTTTTCAATGATTGCTTTCCTTTGCTAAGTTGCTGGATATGGTCTTAAAGATGAAGTTCAGCTCAAAGTGCCTGGACCGTGTGCTCCTTCTGCCTTTCCTGCTGCCTTTTATTTTCTCAGTGCAGCCTGTCCTCCTTGAGGCAGGAAATTCCATGTGGAAAAAAAAAGTTATTGGAATATCCCTGGTTCTGACCCTCACGCACATTAAGCCTGACACTTCCCCTTCCCATATCAACCCTCCCATAGAGGCACAGTGTGCTGACAGACTGCCAAGTGCTGGATTATAGGGTTTTACTGACAGAAATACAATTCCAGGATATCAGTTTAAACTTTGCTATACGAGTCAGTTCCAGCTTTGCTCCTAGCATAGATGGAAATGTTTTCTTGAGCAGGAGCTCTTTGGTTTCCAACACCAAATTATTCTTGGAGGAGTGAACCACCTATGTAACTTCTTGCAGAGTAAAAAAATACTCTTTGCTGGCTTCTGCAGATGTTTAGAAGTCATATTGATGACATAATCAGAAAAATGAATATGACAGGTTCTTAAAAGTATCACCATCTATCACCAAAACTGTAGTGGATTTTAAAGCAAGTGTCTGAACTATGTAAGGCAAACCAGGGCATTAAGGCATACCATTCCCTCTGACAACCAGCTCAAATACGTATATGCAGTATGAGGCTCCAGAAAGTTTGAATGTTCACTAAATCTCTGAAGCAGAAAAAAAATATTTCACCTTCATCCACCTCTTCTGTCATTTTCAGAGAAATGCTCATAGGATCAAAAGGGAGGAGAATGCTATTTTGTTGGAAAACAGTTAGCTTTACTAACCAAGAGCTTTCAAAGGAGCATATCTACTACAGCAGATCTTTTCTTCAGAATTATGACAAGGCATGACATTTTTTTCTTTGAATTCAGAATAAGTAATACCCCAACAATGGGAATAACACAAAAACTCACTTAGGAAAGAAGTTGCTAAGATGTGCATGAGCCCATCAATACCACTGACAGCTTGATAACTAAAGCTATCAGCATCCCACCAGAGCTGATGAGCAGAAGCAGCAAATCAAGTAACATGAAGTGGTTTTAAGAGCTAACTTTGCCTCAATACAGAAGGTAAAATATCTGAGGTAGACATAGCTTGATAAATCTCTGCCAATCCAAGGGAAAGGATCAAAAAGGAATATTTTCTAAAGAGTCCCCAGTTACTATCAAAATATGGTTTTCCTATAATTTTCAACATAAAGCCTTAGAAAGTATGGCCAAGTCAGAAAGTAAAAACAAAGAATTTAGCAGAACAAACATACTGAATATTTACAGGGAGAAGAATTACAGCTAAACAATTCAAAACTCTGGAAAGTTGAAGTTAACTTTTGACTATCCCATAGGTGCTTTCTATTACAAAAGAGGCTGGACCAGGCCTGCAAGCACAATCAGATTCTTCCCATAGACTTGAAATTCATGAGAAATCAGGACTGCTTTCTTTAGCCTCAATTGTTCAAATGTAAATTGGGAATTAAAACATTTCCCATCTGCTAGTGATTTTCAAGTTGTAAACCCTTGAAATAGGGTGGTGTTTTTTATGTCTGTATAGTACACCCTGCTGTGAGCAGGTCCTAATTTCACAGAGACAATATTAAGTGGTCTTTTCATATTTAGTGGTACCCTAAAACAAACAAATAGTAACAAGTTTCCATAGGACAGTCTTTCTTCTGCTTAAATACTCCTCAGTTGTTACGATCACACATACAGAGAAATAATAGACCACTTCAGAACAAGCTTATATCTTGTCTGGTGCCAGAAGGGAAAAAATGCTTCACTTTCTTGGAGATTCACTTTGACAAATTGCTTTATGAGCTTCCTACCAGTAAGTGCTCATCCTTTTCAGATCAGAAAGTTTAGTGGAGGAAACTTTACCAGAATAATTTCACCAGCGGAATCTCCACAGGAAGGAATGCATCATTTCAGTTCTCAATGTTTGGAGTTGGGAGAGTTCCCAATAGTCTTCCTCTACAGTAGCAGAGACTGCTTGTTTGCAGCAGGAAAACAACCTTACAACCTCCCTATGAAAACTCCAGTCTAAAAAAAGACTGGCTCTCTTTTTGCTGGCAGCATTCCTGTGTCCAGCACTGACATGCGACTCTCTCTGTTTTTTCCCCAGGGTATTCTCTCATCCTTGGCTTTTATTTTTATATATTTTCATTAAAACAGATGAACAAGTGCAAAATTCTTAGGAAAGTCCCATAAGCACCTAAGAAATGAAATTCTATGGGTTTCTTATGAGTTAAAGCTAGTTTTGAGTCTGAGTTACACAGGTATTTCAGGGGATATTTACCTCTGATACAGTTGCTTAGCTACTCTGGATACCCAAGCTAGACATGCCAACCAGTCTGCTACTCAGCTCGTCCATGTTACTGATTTATTCTTTGCCCTTTTTTTCCCACAATTGCACATTTTTCTTCCCTTTTTCCTACTGATTTGAGATTGTAAAATCAAATCTCACTCTTAGAACTGCCAATCAGTTGTTGCTATATGCTCCAGAGCTTCATTGCCACAGGTGAAAGCTCAGCTTTTTCAGAGTGAATGAGAAAACTGTAGATTATCTTTTCTCCCTTACCTAGATTATCCCCTTCTCTAGGTACCTCAGAACAGGAGGAACATAAATGCCACAGTTAACTCACTACAGCTGAATTTTCTTTTTGTTCAGTCTCCATTGCCTGTCATACCCGGCTTTGAAAGCGTATAAGCTTGATCTACCAAAAGGAGCATGAGCACAACCATCTATCTGCCCTATGGGTACTTTCTAGTATATGAAAAATAATTACATATTTGTATTTAAAAAGTAGTATTAGCTTTAAGAAAACAAATACCACAACCTTCACACTAAAGACTGCTTTCCATGGAAACTCATTTGTATAATGTTTAATGTTTGTATAATGTTACCAGTTATTAGATCACTAATGAGTGATCTAACAGCTGATTTTCTAGTTGGAAGGTTTAGCCCATTATGAGACATAGAAGGAAAGAATAAAATGCCTTACAAATATATGAGAAGTGACTGCAACAACAGTCAGGACTCTTATTTAAAGAGGGAGAACAATTGACAGTCAACACAGCTATCAACTTTCTTTTTTCTTCAGAGAAAGAGAGCAGAAACTGTAGCAGCACTGTGAATCTGTGCATGGAAAAAGAGTCCAGGTCAGAGTAGGGAATGACTAAAGACAATTTAGGTGAATTATAGTCGATCAAATAACTCCTTAAGGATCAAGCCATGCTATCTCCAAACCTTAGTAATTATCCTTGAGGCAATGAGGAGAGGTTGCCAGGTGGATTTGAAGAGAAACGGATATTGTCCCTGTACTTCTACAAGGAAGAAAGGAGGTGGTAATTAAAAGCCAGGTCCTCAAGCTTCAGTACCTGGGAAGATATTAGAACTGTAATGGAAAAGTCATTAAAGAAAACACTGAAAAAAGATCAGCAGAAAGACACTTGAGGTGTTAAGAGTAGCCATGATTCGTTTGCCAAGAATCAAATCGCACCACTGCAGTTCATTTGTACTTCAAGGCTGAGTGACTAACAAAACAGAACATTGTAGCTTGCTGCAATTAAGACTTTTAATACTATCCCATGGGACATCGTTATAAGCAAACAGGAGGAATACTGCTTAGCTGAAATCATCATAAAATGATCATGCAAGATGTTGAAAAACTGCTCTTTAAATAGCAATTTAATAATCACCACAAATCTGAGAGAAGTTTACAGATAAGCCCTGGAGAGGTATATCCTGAACTATATTAAGCTAATTAACATGTTGGATGGTGAAACATTAATTAATATGCTTTAAAATGTAGATAATACAAAGTTTGAGGAATTGCAAAGGTTCCAAAGAACTAGAGTAGAATTCAGAATTATTTTGATAAGTTAGAGGCATGATCTGAAAACAGTAAAAGGAGGCTTTAAAAAAGCATAGTGACACTTAAAGAAAACTATAAGATAACTTATAAGAAAACTATAAGTAAACTGGGAAATTGCTGGCAAGGCAACAGCACTGTGGGGAAGAAAACCCTAGTTGTAACAACTCTCAAACTCATCATGGGTTAATGACCTTAAAAAAAAATGCAGTTTTTGGAAATTGTACATTATTTAATTCTCATTGTCAAGTCTCAACATATTGATAAAACATAATATTATCTGTAATACCTAATACTATCTATTGCTACTTAGAAAGATAGGCAGACTAGATTGACTCAAACATGGAGCAACAATTAATATACGTAAATCTTTCATCTAAAAGATTAAATATAGTCTCTTTGGGAAAACAGAAGGACCATCTGAGTCTTGACGTCCTGTACCCTTTATTTTCAAAGAAGGAAACTGAGCAAAAAAAATATTCACTTACCAATGTTCTTACACATAAACGCTCATTTTGTTTCTTTACTTGGAAAACATACATGCTTGCCTGATGTTCAAGCATGTTGTAAATAATTTAATTTTACAAACTACCAGTTCCTAATTCAAATACTATGTTTAGAAAATATGGCCTATATAGAAATACTGAAGGCATCTAGCATTTTGGGGAGTTTATGTGTATTTTCTTTTGTTCTCTTCCCTCCCTCCCACCCAAAAACAAAGTGAATTGATAGAAGGGCAAAAATCTAGATTGTCTTCCAAAAGTTAA